GGCCCTGCGTCTCCTTACCCATCGGACTGCCTGTGAGATGTGGTGTGTCGGCTAGATTGTTACCAACAACGGACTGTTTGTGAGATGTGTGTCGGCTGTATGGTAACCAACGAGTCCGAAGACCAAAATGCCCATCCCCAGGACGAAAATGTGTTCCTCTTGATGTGGTGTGTCGGCTATGTTGTTAGCAACAACGGATTGCCTGTGAGATGCGGTGTGTCGGCTAGATGGTAACCAACAAGTCCGAAGGCCAAAACGCCCATGCGTTTCGCCCCTGCGTCTCCTTACCCAACGGACTGCCTGTGAGATGTGGTGTGTCGGCTAGATGGTAACCAACGACTTCGAAGACCAAAACGCTCAGTGCGTTTCGGCCCTGCGTTTCCTCACCCAAAGGACTGCCTTTGAGATGTGGTGTGTCGGCTGTGTGGTTACCAACAACGGACTGCCTGTGAGACGTGGTGTGCCGGCTGTGTGGTAACCTAGAAGTCCGCAGGCCAAAACGCCCAGAAATCCGAAGGCCAAAACGCCCAGTGCGTTTCGGCCCTGCGTCTCCTCACCCATCGGACTGCCTGTGAGATGTGGTGTGTCGGCTAGATTGTTACCAACAACGGACTGCTTGTGAGATGTGTGTGTCGGCTGTATGGTAACCAACGAGTCCGAAGACCAAAATGCCCATCCCCAGGACGAAAGTGTGTTCCTCTTGATGTGGTGTGTCGGCTAGATTGTTACCAACAACGGACTGCCTGTGAGATGCGGTGTGTCGGCTAAATGGTAACCAACGAGTCAGAAGGCCAAAACGCCCATGCGTTTCGCCCCTGCGTCTCCTTACCCAACGGACTGCCTGTGAGATGTGGTGTGTCGGCTAGATGGTAACCAACGACTTCGAAGACCAAAACGCTCAGTGCGTTTCGGCCCTGCGTTTCCTCACCCAAAGGACTGCCTTTGAGATGTGGTGTGTCGGCTGTGTGGTTACCAACAACGGACTGCCTGTGAGACGTGGTGTTACGAGGGATGGGGGGGGTCGGTAATTAACTTTCCACGATGGGCCTTGCGTCGTCTCGCGCACTCCCATCAACTCCCCGGGCGAGCGTGCCCCATTCAACCCCCGGTTGCTGCAAAGAGCTCGTCCGGTCGCCGTCCGTTCGGCGGCGCCGACGTTGTCTCGCGAAGTCCTCATGGCCTTTTTCACCCCAAGAGGAAAATCTTTCGTCCTGCGTAAGTATTTCGGGTATCTATAGAAATCCCTATGATATCTATCAGGTTCCTTACTACGCCCATGGGATTCCTTCGGGGGGGCATAAAAATCCGCAGGAAAGCAATAGGATGCCTGAGGACATCCATACGATTCCTTAGGGAGTTTATCGGAATTCTTAAGAAATCCACACGCGCTCTGGGGAAATCCGTTGGAATCCTGAGGACAGCCACGGGGTGCCCTTGGGAAATCCATGGGAGTCCCGAGGAAATACCTGGGCCCGCAAGATATCTCCTTCGGAAAACGATGGATCCGTGTTCGACAACGTAGAAAGCGTTATAAATTCAAAAAATCCATCGGTCACCGTCGAAGGTTCACTTTCGTGTCCAGACGATCATGGCAACTTGTCCATTGCGGACAATGCAAAGTTCGTAACACGCGCGATCGGGCGGCACGCGCGCGGGCGTGTCACCCGAAATCCCTTTGGCCATCGTCAAGGGTTCACTTTAGTTTCCAAGCCATTGTGGACAATGCAAAGTGCGCCACGCGCGCGTCTGCGCGCGCGTGGCGATGTCTGTATAACCCACAATAGGAAAGTACGCACCTTGGCGTTGGAACTAAAGTGAGCCCTTAATGGTGACCGGTTAGAGAAGTTAACATGCGTGTTTCTGATGCGCTCAAGAAAAGAAGCGTCAACACATTGGCCTGGAAAACGAAATTAATCCTTAACAGTGACCGATTGAATTTGAAGTTAACATGTGTTGTTCAATGTTCTCAAACACGCCCATGGGATTCCTTAAAAATTATCTTATGGATGTCCTGAGGATTCCTACGCATTCCCTAACGAATCAAATGAGTTGCCGAAGGAATCCGATGGGTGTCCTAAGGAACCCGATGGATGTCCTAAGGGATCCTATGGATGTCCTCCGGACTCCTATGGATTTCCTAAGGGGTCCGATGAATGTCCTCAGGAACCCGATGGATGCCCCAAGGATTCTCGTCGATGTCCGAAGTCATCATTTTGGAATGCCTAAAGCACCCTACGAATGTCCTCAGGCATCCTATGGATGTCCGAACGAAACCGAAGGATGTCCTAAGGATTCCTATGGATTCCCTAGGGACTCCTATGGATGTCCCAAGGAATCCGATGCATGTCCTAGGGAATCACATGGATGTCCTAAGGCATCCTATGGATGTCCCAAGGATACCTACGGATGTATGGGACCCGATGAATGTCCTAAGGCGGCCGATGGATGTCCTAAGGAATCCTTTGGACATGCTCCGGAATCTTACGCAGTCCTACGGAATCCACGTGGATTGCCGGAGTGAATCCCACGGGTTTTCTAAACAACATTATGGATGTCCGAACAGATCCCACGGACGGTGACGGGAATCCTGCGCTTTCCCTTTGGAACCCAATGGATTTGCCGACAAGGACACGGTGGATCTCCCAAGGGATCCGATGGATGTCCTCCGGATTCCTATGACTTGCATAGGGGATCTCATGCATGTCCACCGACCCCTTTGGATTCCATATTGATTTGCTCAGGCATCCGTGTGGACTTCGTAAGAAATCCGATGGGTGTCCTAAGGAATCCTCTGAATTTCCTGCGGTATCTTGTGCATGCCCTAAGGACTCCGATGGATTTCCTTCCGAAATCCATCGAATACTTTTTCGGAAATCTATGAGGCCCCTCAAGAAATCCATGGGGATCCTTGGGACATGCATAAGATTCCTGCGGGAATCCATCGGGTCCGCGAGGAAAGCCATAAGATTTCGAACGAAACGTACCAGATGCATTACAAAGTCTATACGATGTCCTAGAACATCCATTAGATTTTTGGGGAAACCCATCGGTCTCCTTGGAAAATCCTACGATGTTTTTTATGTATAGGTCTCTTCAACAATATCACAAAAGTCCTCGGTTTCCATCGGATCCCTTCGGAAATCCATACGATTCCTTTGGAAATCCAGATGGATTCCAAACGAAATCCACTGAGTCCTCAGGAAATCCATATGCATCATTACGAAATGCTCAGGAATCCTCCGGACATCCTTAAGATTGTTTAGGCAACCCAGAAGATTCGGAATCCATGGGGTTCCTTTGGAAATCCATAGGATTCTTTGGGAAATCTTTTGGAGCCCTTGAGGAAATCAATAAAATTCCTAAGGAAATCCATGGGATTCCTTTGGAAATGCATAGCACTCCTCAGGACACGCACAGGATTCCGAAGGAAATCAATAAGATTCCTTAGAACATCCATCGGATTCCGTACGAAACCCGTAGGATTCCTTAAGAAATCCATAGGAGTCCTAAGGAAATCCAAAAGTTTCCTGAGGACATCCATCGGAATCCTTTGGAAATCCATAGGAATCCTTCGGAAATTCACAGGGATCCTTAAGAACCCTTGCTACTCAACATAAGAATCAAATTCGGCCTTGCCGCCTCTCTTCCCCGACCAAATCTGCACTGGCCGGGGATAATCAACTCTCAGGGGTTTAGGGGGGGGCTAGTGATTATCAGGGGGCGCAAATACAGTCCATATGTGCTCGCAAGAAATATTAACCTCCAGGACAAAGACCGGCGGCACGGCTAGTGGTCCTGCACACAGCCCCACTCACGAGGCATTGTCCTCAAACACACTGTCTGGCGGCAATGCCGGCGGCCCTGCGTATTATAGCCGCGTGCGCACCAGAGGTACTGACCTTCAGGATACAGCCCAGCGGCAATGCTGGCGGTCGTGCGGGCCATGCCTACCAAAACGCAGCCTGGCGGCAATGCCAGCAGTCCTGCATACGGTCGACCCATGCACAACAGAGCTCACGATTTCCAGGACACAGGCTGATGGCAAGCTGCCGTCGGCTGGGAGCGTGCAGTCGGCTGACACCCTGCACTCGGCCGTGCCCTGCAGTCAGCCTGCGTCCTGAAATTGGCCCGCGCCCTGAAAGATCGGTGGGCGCCAGTGCGAAAGCACGGACACTGCGTTTCCCATCCAAAGCATGTATCCTTCCCTGCCCACCTACCCCAATCGAGGAGTGAGGGGAGCAAAAAAATCCTCAAACGCTGTCTTCGTGCTCAAGCTTCGACAGTAGCACGCGCGGTCGCCCTGCGCCCCTGTAGCCGCGCCGCCGCCTGGAGTCGCTGGGGTGCTTCTTGCAGCGCAACTACCTAGCGGTGTCCACCGCGCTGTTTTTTACAAGGGATGGTGGCGTGGTAGTTGCGCAACTACCCCGCAACTACCCAGCCACCGTCCACTTGACCTTGTTGCAATACTAATGATCGTCACCGATGCTGCGGCGACGTATTTTTACATAACAACCACCTGGCTGTGGCCACAGCGCCTTGTTTTGTATGAGGGATGATGGGCCGGGTGCTTGGGTGCTTGTAGACTGTTATTAAAATGATGGCAAACTCATGATGTACTTCTCTTGAGGAAAAGTGCAAGCATTTAAGTACCCCGCCCATTAAATCTGAGACTAACAAAACAACGTGCGGTGCACACACACACACACACATCGAAGGTGTGGCAACCCCACCTGCGTTCGACTGCGAGCCCGCTCTTGCACCTTCCCAGCAGCCTCATGGTGATCCTCATCATCCTCCTTCTCTCCGTTTTCCTCTGCTTCTCCTTCTCGGATCCGATGTCAGATTCCTCTTCGTGTCAATATCCTGCGATGCTTACGTGCTGCAGTTCTGATTGTATGATCCTCGGCACGCATATGCCACTTGTAGACAGATAGATGCATATGTACACGCATATAAGCACAAGGACAAGCAGAAACAGCAGCTTTCACAATCAGCGTCGCCAATCGAAGGCTCCACGTTCACGACCCGGAACGGCCCAGTCGCGGGCGCCGCGAACACCAAGACAGGGGAGGAGCTGACGAAATCCACCGAGCGCCTCGAGGGCGCCTTGGCATGATGAAGAAGTTTGCGCACCTCCCTGGATGGGTCTCAATATGCGTAGGTTCAGGCTCAAAGTGGAGGCGTCGCGCGCTTCTACAGAGCGATGCATGACGAACACGTCTCGATGCCAAAGGGGACGCAACTATTGTGCGGAAAGCGTCAGCTTTCAGGATCCATCCCTGATGCCACGATTTACAAGCGAGGTGCTCGGCAAAGCAACTGACTTCGAAAAATCGTTGAGCCACACGGCTGCAGCCCGTATAGGCAATCAAGACAGCTCACGCGAACCACAATTCTCGCTCTCATTCTGATCCATCGCTCAAGATGCGTGTATCCCAACAGGTTATCGCCTCCGCTCATCGTGCTTGCCGTCGTGCTTCTCGATTGCTGCTGCTACTGCTATGACTCCCACGTTCTCTCTCTCTCTCTCTATCTCTCTCCCACTCTATGTATAAGTATATATAAATACATATGCGCATGGCGGATTTTAAAATATCTATATACATATGTCGTTATATATGTCCATATCTCTTCCTTTCCTCTTACTAGTACAACTAATATTCGTAGTGTTAGGATGTTTGATATGATTCGTCGTCGTCGCCGTCGGCGTCGTCATTACCATGTCATGATCCTCATCATGCTCCTCCTGGTCCTCCTCTTCCCCTTCCTCCTCAGCGTCCTCATCATCAATATTCCTGGTCCTCCTCCTCTTCCTCCTCCTCCTCAGCCTCCCCCTCATCATCAATGTTCCTGCTCCTCCTCCTCCTGCTCCTCCCTGCATCCTACCTACTCTTCTCCCTGTCTCTCCCGCCGCCGTCTCCTTCCTTACCCTCCTCTTCCTGTCGATGCACCATTCTAATCCGCCTCCCCTCCACCATTGTCTCGCGTTCCTGTCCCTCCTGCTGTTCCTCCTCCTCCTCCTCCTCCTCTTCCTCCTCCTCCTTCTCTTCCTTTTCCGTCCTTGCTTTATGGTCCTCCTCTGGTATCTCCGCTCCTGCCTCGTCACCTGGATGTTCTCCCCGCCGAGGAGGTAAGAGCGGAACAGGAAGGGAAGAAAGGAGGGGGAAAGGTAGGAACATCGAGTCGAGTCGGCGGCCTGTGAAACATGCGGGGTCAAAGCGCTACACCTGTCACTGCCATTAATGCCGAACACGCGACACACGCCGAGAATGATGGTAGCCTCTGGCACTGCTGCTGACACCAAGACCAAATCTTGCAACGAATATTCAGTGGCATGGCGGCGTAGTTCCAAGTATAAAACGTCGAACGCAGCGCAGAGGAGTATTGCTTTTCTGTTGGACGTTCACCGAGCGCCGCAAGCGCGATAGCGCTGCAGGACAGATCCGCATGGAGCAGATGGAACGAGGGCACCAGCGCCTTGGTACATGTACACGGCTACGATAAATTTGGCTCAAGGCGCTACTGAAGGCCTCGAAGTCTGAGAGCGCAGGCTCCAATTAGTGATAACGCCTACAGAACATGCGATGACTGACTGCGCAACACGGCAGAAGATGTACTAGAAGAGCCTGAGCATCTGTATACTCAGAAGTGCCCTAATTAGATGATGAATGCGTCTGCAAAGTTCGTCCGAACAGCTTCGAGAAAGCAGGCTGGGAAACCTGACGTTCTCAAGTAGCAGACTCACAAGTGCAGGGTCTTCCGTGATTCTGCGGGCGCTCTCTACCATGAGTCCTGGCGGCCCCTACGCTGCCCCATAGCGAGCAGCCTGCAGCGCTGACTGCTTGGGGGCCTCCTGGCCCTTGGCGCCGAGCAGCCCCAGGTCAGGCGGCGCGGCGAGCTCCGCCGCCAGCTCCGCCGCGGCCGATCGGACGGCGGGTTTGGGCGCGGCTGGGACTGGTCGCGGTTGCGGCGTCTGCTCCGAGAGCAGGTCGCCCAGCAGGTCGACGGTCTCCGCCGCGCTCTTCGTGGTCTGGGGCTCGGTCGGCGCCTCCACCTCATCTGGCGTCTCCTCATGCTGCCTTGCATCCCGTGCGTCCCCCGCGACGTTCGAGTCCTTGTGCGTGCGCCGGTCACACCTGGGGACGGCCGCCCCTGCTCCTTGGTCCCTGCTCCCTCCATCGTCCTCCGCTCCTCGGATTGTCCTTCCTCTCCTGAGCACTCCGCCAATCTGGCATCGCTCGCCTCGAGCTTGTCCAATCCATGCAAGAATCGATTGGCAGTCATTCCGCAACAAAAGATGGCACAGCACTGCTATGGCACACCATGGCTCTAGACAGGTTCGACTATTGGTCTTATCATTTCTCGCATCAATATTGACATTGTATCTACTATCATTATTCCTCCTCTTCTTTCCACCACATCCATCTCCTCAATATTCGCTGACTTATCCTCATCCTCCCTGGTGCCTGGGGTCGACCACGACTGTCGATGCGCACTCGTTGTCGCCATCGCACACTACCTCTGTGGCGCTCGGGGCACGGGTGTCGGCCGTGCAGTCCTCGACAGAGCTCCCCCATCCCTCTGCCTCTCCATCCTGCTCCCCCACCGTCCTTTCACCTTTACCCCCTGCTTCCCCCCATGCCCCCCCCCCCCCGCCTCCCCTTCACTCCCAATCCCCTCCCGCTGGCTTCCCCCTCCCGTCCTCCCGTTGACTTCCCTTTCGCCTCTCCTCGGCACCCACCGCTCGTCATCCGCCCGCCACGTTTCGCATATCGCCTCCGTGACACATCCTTGCCCCTTGATCGCCTAGCGCCTCGGTACCCTTCCTGTCCTCCCCCCCTCCCCTCGCCCTCATTATGATCTTGTTGACCCTTCCCTCCCCAGAACCCCCTGGACCACCACCACCGCCACCACCACCGTCATCATCATCATAATCATCATCATCATCATCAACAATCATCATCATCATCATCATCATCATCATCATCATCATCATCATCATCATCATCATCATCATCATCATCATCATCATCATCATCATCATCATCATCATCATCATCATCATCATCGTCATCATCATCATCATCATCATCATCATCATCATCATCCTCATCATCATCATCATCACCATCACCATCACCATCACCATCACCATCATCATCAGCAGCATCATCATCATCACCGTCACCATCATCATCATCAGCATCATCATCATCTTCATCATCATCTTCACCATCACCAACGCCATCGCCATCACCATCGCAATCACCATCACCATCATCATCATCATCATCATCATCAGCATCATCATCATCATCGGCATCATCATCATCATCATCATCACCATCGTCATCATCGTCATAATCGTTATCATCGCCATCATCGTCATCATCGTCATCATCGTCATCAGAATCATAATCGTCATCATCATCATCACCATCATCATCATCATCGTCGCCATCGTTATCATCGTCAGTATCGTCATCATCGTCATCACTATCATCGCCATCATCATCAGCAGCATCGTCATCATCATCATCATCATCAACAGCATCATCATCATCGTCGTCAACATCGTCAACATCTTCATTATCGTCGTCATCGTTATCATCGTCATCATCGTCATCGTCGTCATCAGCATCACCATCACCATCAACGTCAACATCACCATCATCATCATCATCGTCAGCATCATCATCAACATCATCATCCCAAGCAGTATCATCATCCTCAGCATCGTCAGCATGGTCATCATCATCATCATCATCGTCATCATCATCCTTATCATCATCATCGTCGTCAGCATCAGCATCATCGTCATCGTCAGCATCGTCCGCATCGTCATCATGGTCATCATCAGCATCATCATCAACATCATCAGCTGCATCACCATGATCATCAACATCATCATCGGCATCATCATCATTATCGTCAACATCGTCATCATCATCACGACCACCGTCAATATCACCATCACCATCATCATCATCACCATGATCAGAATCATTATCATCATCACCATGATCATCATCATCACCATCAGCAGATTCATCATCGTCAGCATCACCACCACCACCACAACCATCAGCATCGCCATCATCATCATCAGCAGCAGCATCAGCATCATCATCATCAGCAGCATGTTCATCATCATCATCATCATCATCAGCAGCAGCAGTAGCAGCATCATCATCAGCAGCAGCATCAGCATCATCATCATCATCATCAGCAGCAGCATCATCATCATCAGAACAGCAGCATCAGCAGCATGTGCAGGCCAAGCGCTTCCCCGTCTACAGTCTGACGTCGGTCGCTGTTGAGTGCCACTCGGCAACGGCAGGCATAAGTAAAAGACCAGAAGAAACACACGCACGAGCACAGGCGCACTCGCAAGTTCAGGCACACCACTCCTGGTCACAGGGAAGACACATTTGAAAGGTGCTGAAAAAAGCGCGACTTAAGCAGTGGTGGCCATGGTACGGAATATCCCGCCTGGATCGGCCATAGTTCTGATAAATAAATCTGAGAACCTCATCGTGATCAACACCCATCATCAGCAGCAGCATCATGTGGATGCCAACGCTTGCAGCGCCGAGTAACCTGCGAAGCACAGACGAGTGACAGAATGGCGGGAGCCAGATATCAAAAAGAACATCGATGATGGCTGTCGCATTCAACTCATCAGCAGGATGCGGGCATTGATATCCGACGCAAATGATTCCGACGCCGCGAGCGAGCCAAAAGGACGCTGACAACATTGATGAGAAGCTCACCTTTGGTCTGGCCTTCCAGGCTACCAAATCTATAGGCAAAGGCAGGGCAAGGGATTCATCTACATATATATATATATACATGTATACACTAGAACCACACGCGCGCTTCGCGCGCGCTTAGGTTCCAGCGAGCTCCAGTTGTAGTGTTCAGCATCGGAGGACATATATTGTCACAAGGATCGTGCACATCAGGGAGCTCCACCTGCCGCCCCTCAGACAGGCTTGGCTGAGGGTCCCCCCGCCCATGCCGGCACACCCCTCACAAGCATCGCGTCCCACAAGGAGATCCACTTAATTACATCCCCAGAGACGAGGTTCGCAAAAGGGCACGCCCCTCACGCGGACCGCGCCCCGCAACTAAATGCATTTGCGGCACGCCCCGCTCACTTCGGCACACCTCTCACACGGACCGTGGCCCACACGGACATCCACCGACAACCCCAAAGACAAGGTTCGCATCCCGCCATCCCGCCTACTTCGGCACACCACTACACGGATCGGGATCGTGGCCCACTCCACCCACGGCCCCAGAGGCAGGGTTCACACTGCGCCCCCCCCGGCCTTTGTGACACACCCCATCACGTGGACTTTGCCCGCAAGGAGCACCACTTCAAGGCCCAGAAGGTTCGTACAACGCCCCCCCCGCCCATGTCGGCACACCTGTCACGCAAATCATGCCCCAGAATGGGCATCTTTGCATGGCGTCCCCACGCCTACTTCGGAACATGCCTGGCACGGGGCGTGCCCGAGGAGATCCACCTGCGGCCTCAGTGGGCGCGTTCGCGCGACACCTCACGTGGATCGTGTCCCACAAGGAGTTCAGCGCACCCGGGCACGCGTGCCCCGCGGCAGCCATCATTCCGCATTGCCCCAGCCTCTTTGGCTGTCTGAAAGCGTTCCTGGCCCGTCGGACGCTGCCAGAAGTCGTCGTTGAGGCCTGCCTTCGCCGTCTTCGAGCCCGCTTGGAGCGCTTCGGGGCTGTCTTGGAGGCAATCTCAGGCGTGTTGAGTCCTCTTGGGCCGTCTCGGGGCCCTCCTGGGGCAGTCTTTGAAGCTTCTTGGGCCGTCACAGGGCTATCGTGGAGGCCTCTTGGGTACTCTCAGGGCGATCTTGGGAGCCTAGTGGGCCATCTGGACCGTCGGCAGGCCGAAACAAAAAATACAAAAATCCTTGAAAAGCTTAGGGGAAATCAATGGTTTTAGCTCCTTCGGGCTTTCCCAAGGGATCTATTCGAGGCGTCTTGGTCGCCACGGAGGCTGTCTGCAGCCGTCTTGACCCCATTTTGGGCCGTGTAGTGTAGGGTGCATATTGGGGCCATCTTGGGCTCTCTTGAAGCCATTTTAGCGGTTTGGGAGGCATGTCTAAAGCCATCATGGGCTATCTTGGCCGTCTTGGAGGCAATGGGGGCCGTTTGGGGCTGGGAACGGGAGGTCCTGGAACTTCGGTCCCGCCATAGAGAAATGGGGCCGGGCCCCCCCGGGAACCTGAACCCCAGATATATGGGTTATACATATGCAGATACACTAGAACCATCGCGCGCGTTTCGCGCGCTCAGGTTCTAGCAGGCCCCAGGCTTTGACGAGCTCACTGCTCCACTAAAGTAGCGGACCACAGAAGGCTTGAACGGGACATGAAGAAGTGTCCATAACGCTGAACGCATCATGGGCAATGAGAACGCCATGCGTGTCAATCCGTATTCCTGAAAGTTTTCGGAGAAGATGGTTGCGTAGGGGTGCGGAGGCCTGATGAATCGGGCTCCCAAAAGGCCTTCTGGAAACATGGCTTTTGGGGGCGTCTTGGGGAGCCCGTTGGGGCGTGCCGTCGTCGTCGTCGTCGTCGTCGTCGTCATCTTCATCGTTTCGTCGTCTTCGTCGTCGTCGTCGGATGGACGCCTCCCAAGACCCATCCAGCGCTTCTGGACCTCCTCTGGACCTCCTGGCCCCATCCGTAGGACCGGCTGAAGCCGATCACTAAGTCACAGACTCGGGCCCCAGCGTCCAAAGAAGCCTGAACACGTCCCGGGTGCTACCATACGGTTCAAAAGGGCCCTTGGGGCAACTTTGTGCGAAACAATCCGCGGAGGGTCATGTTACCAAGTAACTTCCCAGACAGCTCTCCGGTAGCGTGATGCTACTTCAGAGCCTCCGGAGACTCTCGGGCCCATGATGATGAACCATGTCCCCGAAAGGCTTTCTGGGGACATGATTTGTTGGGGTGTGTTGGGGGGACTCTTGGGCGTTCCCTCGGGGCCCCTTGTGGGCCTCTTGGGGCTTCCTGGGGGCCTCATCCTCCTCCAATCTTCAAGCCATCTCGGGCCCTCGTGGGCCTCGCTGGGGCTGTCTTGTGGGCCTCTTGGGCGTCCTCGGAACCCGGAAACCATGTTCCAGGAGAGGCTTCCAGGAACATGATTTCGAACGAGGCCCTCTTGGGCCTCCCTGAGGCCGTCTTGGGAGCCTCCTGGGCCAGCTTGGGGGTTTCTTGGGCCGTCTCGGGGGGGGTCCGTGAACCCCACAGGACGACCCTTTGGGGGCCGTCTTGTGCCCTCTTGGGTCTCTCTTGGGTGGTCTTGGGGCTCCTCGGGGGCGTCTGGGGCACTGTGACAACGAAGCAAGCGACTATGCTGAAAACGCACGCTTTACGACTGGAATGGATGGGGCCCTCGTCGGCCATCATCAAGCCATCTCGGGCCCCCTTAGGGCGCTCTTGGGCGTCTTCGGGGCCTTTTGAGGCTTCTTGACCATCTGTACGGCCCGCGTGACCTGTCGTGGGCAATTTGGAAGCGGCC